TGGACATTGACGTTATGTAGCTGTACGGCGCAAAGCGGCTGAGTTGAGCTCGACGCTGTTAAGTGGGCGCAATATGTTTGCCAGACGAGCGCAATTGTGTGTGCGGCGAGTGGTGATCACGCATGTGCCGCATTAAATGAGCGAACCATGAATGTGTGGGATTGAGTGAGAGGAGCGCGTTTTATGCTTGTTCTTGCGCTGTGATTTTCTTTATTCGGCACATATGTATGTACTCATGTACATACATACATAATCGTATGTATGAACGCCTGTTTGACATTATTACTGCTTTTGTTGTTGTAGGCTTCCAACACAAGAAGTACGAGAAACATGCAGTAAAAACATGGGGCATTCACAATCGGCGTGCTGCTCGCACGAAGCAGCAACATTTGTGTGTGCAGCAGCAGCAACAACGTTCACCAGCTAAAGTTACTGTCGTTGTAGTGCGCTGCTTCAACTGAAGACGCTACAAAATGCGCCGCTAACAACGCGCGTCTGCATAATTGAAGTTTTCAAATTTGTTTATTCCGTTTCGGGATGTCAGCGCAGTAGCATGCACCAGCGCATTAAAACCGACCAACCGGCCAATAAAAGCAATCAAATAAATTCGTTTGCTATTTGAATTTATGTTTACGTCGAGTCATTTAGTTGTTGTCTTAAAGTGGTATCGATCGGCTATTATCGGCTGAGTGTAGCTTATACTCGGGTTCTCCTGAGTAAATAATGGAATTGAAGTGAAGACGAGCTTTGAAAGTCTAACCGAGCTTAAATGTGTATTTATTGATTTTCAGTTGTGGTGTTGAGAGTGACAATAACAATAACAATAACAACAAGAATTGTAAAACTGCTTTCCGTATATGTGTTAAGCGCGTATGCGTGCGAGTGTGTGTTGGAAAAAAGCGCGCCACAAATAGAAAACATTTTCAAGTTTTCATTTGGTATATAAACAAAACTAAAAAAGTTTATGTCGGGACCGTTAAATAAATGCAAATTAAAACCTAACTAAAAATAGAATTTCAATGTTGTTTAACCTTATGGAGCGTTGGTGAAAACATACGCTCTTTGTTCTAAGTTTACAACGAAATGTGTGTCAAAGCCAAAAGTGTGTTGTTGATACCAATTTGACGAATAATTCAAGAACACAAAAGAAGTCAGTGGCAAAAAAGATATTGAAATTAACTTTATTTGGAGTACTCGATTTTGGGAAAGCTATGCCAGCGCAACAATTTGACAAAATGTTTATCGCTTTGGATCAAACGAATGCGTTTTTCTCAGGTATTCAATTGAAAGTTTTAATGAAATTTGCTTTGAGAATTGCCAAAACATATAAGATGGATTTTCTTATACCTTTATGCAATCACACAATATATATATTTTATGGCTTTCTATATTTTGTAGAATTTTTATTCTTTTCACTATTGCAAAGACTGGCAAAAATCCCTTATCTGACATCATATATGTAATACCAAATACTAAGTTGTTGCATTATACTCCTCGCTACTCAAAGCACGCCACGTAAATTGCAAACGGATCTATACTTGAACGTATAACAACAGCTTGCACCTCGTAGACGTAGACTTACATGCGATCTATGCTTGGCATAAAAAAAGTTTGACCTAAAACTGTGGAATTTTTTTTGGTTTCAAAAAAATAGAGGTTGATGATAGAGGGGTGAAAATTTGGGGTTATTTATATTTTGGTGACATAAAAAAATTAAAAAAAAAATGTTGTCCAAAAAATCAAAAAAAAAAATTAAATAAAATTTAGGGTAGACTAAGTATATAGCAGTTGACTAATTTTTGACATACACACGGACATGGGTTTATTATAGATTAAGATATAGATCGATTTTTATCATATAGATGTCATTTGTGATCTGCTATGCTCAAACCTACTGAATATGCACAAAAAATTTCACTAAAATCGATCAAGCCGTCTCGGAGGAGTATCCTGTCTAACACTGTGACACAAAAATTTTATAAGTTTTTTTATTATTTATTAATTTTTGAGGTCATTAATTTAAATAATAACTATCCCATCATCTAAATAGTTGGACCAAATAACATATATATGTCAACTTTCATGTATAGCAGTTTTTTATAGATTAAGATATAGATCGATTTTTATCATATAGCTGCCATTTGTTAAGGTAGGAGAATTAAAAATTGGTTCTAAAGTCCTATATAAACAAGAATGAAGAGCTATCTTCGATCGTACCGAAGTCGTTATACCCATCAATATCAAACTTATGGTTTCTGTTTTCCTTTTAGGATAAAATAGTAACTCTCATATCTGAGGCTACGTGCTTAGAATGTCAAATTTCGTACTCTTAGTTGCGTTTTAGACGAAGTTTTGACCAAAGCCCTACATCTGAAAAGAACGGTGTATGGAGCTTTGCATTGTATATGTCCTATTCGTACGATATCGATAATTTTCAGCACCAATAACTTACATGTCATGAGTGTAGAGTACCAATTTCCACGCTCTAAGATGTTTTTTTAAACAAAATTTTTGACCCGAAACCTCTAACTTGAAAATCGCTCGAGATATAGTGGATCGGTCTGGCCAGTTCCTATAATTGATCGCTTAAATATACAGTGCCTTTGTATAGCAAGTTTGGTTGAAAAAAATTGCCTCAACGGATACAAAGCGCCGATTATAAATTAGCTTTTCGATTATTAAATATTTTCGTACCGAACTTAGAAACTATGACATTACCTTGGACTCTGTAAAAACAACTTATGTTGAAAATTTATTCAAAATTGTTACGTTTTTTTATTGTGTATTGATTTTTTCAAGAATGAACTAAAATTTAATTTAATTAAGCTTAACAATGAGGATAAGGATTTGCCACTATGTTTTAAAAATGATATGAGTGATCGCCGTGGCCGACTCGAATAACTTCCAGCCGAGAGGTCCAATTTTCGATCACATTTTTGTAGCAATTGGGCTGCATGCCAGCAATGGCACGCTGAACATTCTTTTCCAAGGCGTCGATCGCCTCGGAATTAACTACGTACGCAAGCAACTTCACATAGCTCCACAAAAGATAGTTCAGTGACGTAAAATCGTATGATCTTAGAGACCACTCCAAAGGCCCACGATACGATGCGCTCACCAAAAGTTTCCATAAGTTAGTTTATTGTTTTGTTGGCTGTATGTCACATACCACCGTCTTGTTGTAACCAAAGGTCGTCCAAAATCAACATCTACCGTTTCAGACACAAAAAAGTCATTAGCCAAGGCTCTATTACTTTCCCCCATTGTTGCAAAATTTTGAACGGCTTCATTTTTATAGAAATATGAACGAATTATTCCTTCTTCCCATAGAGCGCAGCATACAGTGGAGGATGTAATAGTGGCTCAATAATGGCTCATATCAAATAAGAGACATTTTTTATTAAGTTACGCATTCAATCAGAAAATATCTTCAGCGCTGAAAAAATTTGCTTATGAAAAGCGGGCTCAGTGGTCATCTCACTTTGAGCTCAGTTCCCAAACATGTGACGCGGTTGGCGATCGTTTGGCTTCAATTCTTGCATAAGTTGGGTTTTGTAAGCTGGCACGCCTAGATCCTTTCATAAAATCTAACATAAAGTGGATGGGTACAGCTTCAAATGTTGTGCGCGATTGCTTATGTAATCATTCGGATAGCGTGTTCGCACTTTATAGCGAGGAAGGGGATGCGCATTATCGACTAGAGTAAGCCTAGTACAAAACCGATTTATGGTTGCTGGAATTACAGACTCTGCTGGGCTATTTCTTAACTTTTTCCTAGAAGTTACTGTTATTACTCATATTATGCCCAGAATTTAGATCCATGGTTTCACAAAATACTGAGAAATAAATATTTCTCGATGTTCTGAAAAATTTTGATTAAGTTTGGTACCAAAACATTTCATGAAATGATGAGTCGAAATTCTGTCCGGCGCGGATTTAGTATATTTATCATTGTATGACCTTTTTGTTACTATTTTGTTTAATGACTTTACGAGTTATAACAGCGCTCTATTAGTTTCTTCTCTCAGCCGTTTGACGTTTATTAGAGACACAATTTAAATCCCTTGAACCTTGAGATCCTTCTCCACCTGCACTTTTCAACGGGTTTTCCTCTCACACTGGATCTAACGGCGTACACTGCGCCGAAATCTCTCAAATCTGGAATGTTGAGAGAATACTGGACTTTTCATTTGCCTACTCAGTTCAAAGTAGCGCCTGTTGGCTAGAGTTATTCTGCATTGGAATTCAAGGCTGACATTATTATTGATGTTGATGCTGGTTCCTAGATAGATGAAGATATCTTTTACTTCAAGTTATGACTGTCAACAGTGACCTGGGAGCCAAGAAGCATGTGCGCTGACACTTTGTTTGATGGCAAAAGATTATTCGTTTTCGTCCTCGTCCACTATCAGAGGAAATTGCCTCGCTTCCTCATGCAATTTAGACAGAGCAGAAATGTAGTGGTTGAGCCAATGGTGTCAATATGATCGGCAAGTGCCATAAATTACACGGTTTTATAAAAAAATCTACATTCTTCTTTAGCTCTGCCACTCATATTATTTTCTCCTGTATTAAATTAAAGAATTCACATAATAGAGAGCCATGCTCTCTGATACCTCGTTCGGTGCCGTACGGCAAAAAGCCGCTCTTAGTGCTGCTGAGCGTCCGTTTAGATAGCCGTACAAGTTAAGTTCGTCGACACCGAGGTTTTGTTCTTTAGGTTTAATCAGCTTTGCGAAAAATCGAATTAATTATAAAATCATTAATTTAAATTGCAATTAACCAGAGAATATATAGAATACTAATGAATGAATTGCTATTTTTTTCGATTAATTTTTTAATGGTTTATTGCAATCACAATATCAAGATCTGAAAGTATTGTGATTTTAACTATTAATTTGAAGTACAACATAAATATTTTTTATTTAAAAAAAGAAAGAAAAACACTTACCACTCTGTCACTAAAAATCTGGAAACTAAATAATTTCTTTCATTTACAGACAATCCATATTACTTCTACAATGACAGCAAATCACCGCGCACACCGGACTCACAGAGCTCAAGCAAGACCTTTTCGATATTCAAGCGACGCAATTCGAAAGGCAGCAGTCCACGTGTTATCATACCGGAACAGACGCGGCTAATCACTTCGGCGAATCTCGACTCGGCAGCCACGATGGCGTTAGGAAGTCCACGCGGTAGCTTTGGTTCGCTGGGCGGCTTCTCTCAAGTGAGTTATGGCAATAAAAAATTTATTACATATGTATATATATGAACAGCAAACTGTTAACAAATCATAAAATTACTGTTAAAGCCGGCAATAGCTTTTCTGATTTTTTATCATAATTTTTTTTTTTTGCTAATATAATTTTCTTGTTTTTTTTCCATTATTTGGACTGCAACTCTTCCACATGACCGGCTGCAATCTGTGTACGCTTGTGTATTTGTAAATAAATAGCAATCTTTTGAACTGCAGCCATTGATGTATCGCCAGCGGTCGTCGAACTCACATTCGGAAACGTTTCGCGAGCGGCTGGGCTCCTATAATGAGTCCAATTCCACCACAACGTGCAGCGTTGGCGGCGTTGCTGCCAGTGGCAATGCAGTTAGTGCAGGCAGTGGCGGTGTTGGCGGAGGCAGTGACTTTGATGATGTCTTTTGCATGTCACCCTCAAGGTGAGTGAGTACGCGTTGCGAGTATTCTCATTAGACACTGTGTTTGTTTGTGCACACGGTTTCCACGCAAGTTTGTTTGCGTGTATATGTATGCGCGTGCATGTATTGGTGTCTGATGAGTTGTTGACAATTGTGATGAATGCAGCTGTTGACATTTGGTATTAATTTGCTAATCGCGCATGCAATTTTCATCTTTTTCTTCATCTCCTTAACTTTTACTTATGTCCGCTTTTCTTCTCTTCTCTTCTCTTCTACCTCACGCCAAAAATAATAAAAAATATAAACAAATGTAAATAAATCATAGCAAACATCATCATCACACACTGCCGAACAGTAATACACGTCGTCACTCCTTCGGAAATTGGCGGCAAACGAGTGAACGTCACCATCACAAAAACACGGTACCCTGTTCACCGGATGAAGTGCCGAATATGATGGCTCCACGGCCACCCGTCTTATCTCCGAACAAATATCGCGGTTTACATCGACGAAGAGGTGAGTGCGATTTTATTTTTTAGTTTACTTTATGAAATGTGTATTTTTAGAGAAGTCAATTTTATTTTATTTTTTTTTCACACAAAATAAAAGACGAGTTAAGGCGATATGTAAAAGGTGATTTGCTAATAAAACAAAATTTTCCGGACGAAACATTTTTATGTGTTCGCCTGGAGAATACTTCCCTAAATAATTATATTGGAAAATTAAAGAAAGTCTAAGCCGCTTTGTTTTTTTTTTTTTGTACATGTTTCGACAAAGTTTTTCAATTGAAAATAAGTTTTAATCAAATTCTAATTTATCATTACTATTTAAAACCTTTAGCCGATTTTCAAGAAGCTTTATAACTCCCTCTGTTTAAAGCTTCCGTGTCACATCGGCGAAGAGCTTGCCTAAATGAGTTTCAAGGGCTCTACAGTTGGCCACAGAATTCGGGGAAGAGTCATCGGCCTCTGACCATGACTCATTCCCGTTTATAATCTCATAATAAACCCGTATTTCATAGTTAGTGTGAGTGCTATCTTTATACAGCTTGCATGTCTTTTTTGCTCCACCAGTTACAGAAATTTATCTGCTTTTTGAGTGACTGGTCACCTAGAACGAGGTTCATTTTGACCCTTTGGATGCCCTTTTTGGTCTATTTTGCAACACGTGCAACGACGAATATTGGCCTTGAGCGACGTCAAATCGCTCAGTCAGAATCGTCGTTTTTCGATATGATGTCGTCGGTCGAACATCGTGCGGAGTAGCGTCATTGACTCGCGGCTAGTGTGTGATATGGCTCCGTTGAGACCAGAAGTGGGCCATATCATTTTCAGTCACAAAAAGTAAAGCAGCTACTCTGTAGCGCGCGCCATTGTTCGCAGTGGCGTTGCCAGCCTGAATATTCAACTTTTCACTGATCGACAGAGATCGTATTTACGAAAAGCCTTCTAAACAACAAGCTTTTATTTGTGTTTAGAGAATTTTACGTTGACATGAACCAATTTTAGTTCTTTATTGGTTTGATCTTTGTGGAATAATTTTACACCGGTAAATGCTTAAACACTACCTTTTTATTATTAAGATAGAAGACGAAAGAATTAATTGAAATCAGAAAAAATGAACTAAGAAATTGAGCTCCCTATTCGGCTGGAGCTGAGATCATCTCAAAAGATATGATATCTGTATCGACTGGAGTGCGGGCAGTCGCAAAGATGATGCTCCACTTCGATAAACTATCTGCACTCATTCGATTTCTGCTTACTGAACTTGCAAAGATGATATCAGACGGATAAAGGGCCGATCCTTTTCTTAGCGTAAGTGACAATTTAGTCTGTTCTTCGATAAATTAGTGGAAAGAGCTATGGGCACTTTAAGTTGTATTGAGTAATATTTGAAAGCCCTGAAAGTTCGAGGCAACCAACAGTTCGAGCCAGCTGTTCCTCCTTTCTTTGCCATCTACATCCATGTCACTTATCCTAGGGATGCTCACGGTGTTTTTCCGTGATGGTTAAATAATTACCTTCTCGTTCTCATGAATTTAGAGTTTAATTGAAACTGGTTTGCCCACAAAAGTCTCATTTATAACTCTATAAGCTTTTTGGAGGTCTGAAGTCTTTTTTTCTTTTCTGGTAAACTTACCTACTTTGTCCCACTATGCGCTGGTAACTCTCTAAAGTCTGCACAAACAAAATTCTTCGGCTCTTTGTACTCATCTAATTCCGCCGACTGTTTATCATAGTTCAAAGCGTTAAAGAGACGGCTGAATTGGATTAGTACATACATAGATACATACACACATATATGCGCTATGACAATCCTTTGCGTCCAGCCGCTCCGATGGCTTAAGTGTTTTATAGAAATTTTATGCGTCAACAATTTAAACAATTGCAATTTGATTAAAATATACAACAATGCTTTTGCATACTAAAATCTCGCAAATGCTGCCAACATTGTTGTCACACAGCCATACATACATACGCATATACGCGCACAGCCAACGGCAGTTTCAAGCAAAATCAAACGTCAACAGGAACAACTGGCGATATAGTAGGCGCCAGCGAACGCATTTTGTTACAGCTATTTATGCAAAGTGAAATCAATGAAATTACAAAAACAAAAACAACAAAGATTTGCTATTTATAAGCGCACTCAAACTAATATATGTAGTATTTTATACAAATCTACATACATACGTGTATAAACATAAATTTTTGCCGCACATTTCTCACTTTTCACTGATAGCGGAAAAAGGAGTAACTGCCAACGGCAGGCAAGCGCCTTCCCGACTGCCGACATTATATAAATTTATTGTATTTGTTGCTGTTGCCGCAAATCAACTCAAACACATAACAATTTGTTATTTTATATACTCGTATAATATATCCATACACACGATGTTTGTAGCGTTGCTTTTGCTTTTCGCACTCTTGTGGTTGTTGTCTTTGGTGTTTTATTATTGTTATTTGTTTGACATTGACAGCAGTGAAAATGATTGAGCGCATTTATCGTTGGTCAAGAATCGCTGATGATCACTCGCCACTCGAGCAGCTCCGTTAGTATGTGGTGTTGGTTAGTGTTGTTGTAGTTGTGGCAGGTTAAGGCGCGGCCAGTCAAGACCCCAGCCGAGGAGCAGCCATCGTATGTTGACATGTAGGAAGCACTTGTGGGCGCATGCGCGAAATTTCAATGAAACTCAGTAGAGTACGCACACACCCACACACTCACACACACACAGTAAAAAAGTAAAGAAGAGCGAGCTTAATTTACTTATGTGTGTATGTGCGCACAGGTACTACTAACGCCAAAAACAAACATATAAATTATATGTGAAACCCAAACAACTGGTGTGTTCTACTGAGTGTATAAATATAATCAGTTTATTTCCATTAATTGGCCATTTAAATGCCTCGAATGATTTAGTGTTAATTATTATAATACAAAAAACACACACAAAAAAGTAGAAACATGTGTACGAACTACACTTGGGAGACTACAAATTGGTTTAGAATTAGAAAAATGTTGTGAGTTTATTTATGGCATATCGTTGTATACTTGAAGGGAAGTTTCCTCTTGACGAAACAATAAATATTGACAATATATAATGATATGAACATTGATCAATATTATTATTAATTTTCATTCAATGTATTATTTGTGATGAATGACAAATTTTTTGGAGAATCTTATTGTAGATTTGGAATCAATATTTCGAATTGCTATATATTGTTTTGGTTTATTAATTTTATTTTACTTTAATGTGTTAATTTTATTTTGTTTGACATTGTTTTATTTTATTCTATTTTATTTTATTTTATTTTATTTTATTTTATTTTATTTTATTTTATTTTATTTTATTTTATTTTATTTTATTTTATTTTATTTTACTTCCTTTCCTTTTCAGTTATTTTACTCTATTTTAGTTTTGGTTTATTTTATTGGTTTTTTTTGTTTATCTTATTATATTTAAATTTTTTAATTTAATTTTATATCGTTTTATTTCAATATAGTTTATACTGTTTTGTTAACAATTTTGATTTTAGTTTATTGTATTTTATATTTCTTATTTTTATTTTGCTGGTTTTTTTTATTTAATTCTAGTGTATTTCGTATTGTTTTAATTAATTATTATTTTTTATTTCATTCAGTTCAGATATTTTATTTTATTCAATTTAATTTTTATCTTAGTTTATTATTTTTATTTTTTGTTTCATTATACCTTACTTTATATTAATTTAGTTTATTTTAGTTATTCCTTATCAAATTTTATTTTTCATCCTAATTCATTTTATTTGGCTTTAATTTCCTTTCCTTTATTTCTTTGATTTTGTTTTATTTTATTTAATGTGACTTTTTTGGCTTTCGACTCTTTTATGTATATAAATTTTTTTGTTGGAAGTAAAAAATACAAATTTTTCAAATTTTCTTTTCGATGCTTACGCAACCAGAAAAGCACACGTTCGTAATGAAATCTGATAAACAGATGTTGATGTGTAGCGATTCTTTGAAATTCGTATGCTTCATACCACCATTACGCTCCAAACTGCGACGCCACCCCTTTCACTGCCACTGTGCCGTTATTGTAAGACATTACTGTGTAAGAACAACAAACAATGGATGTAAAAACACCCACAAATACATACGAACATGCATAAATGTGAAGTGAATGCACGGCAATATAAACAGTTATGCCCATATGTGCACCAGTTCATAAACATTTCACTGAAATGCGCGTAATAACAAACACAACACATCATTCACATACACATATATTTTTGAAAGGAAAATATAACAAAATATCCAGCTAGATGTCCATACTTTCAAACTCGTACATAGTTATTTACTCGGAACATCTTCTCTTTGCACTGGGCGCATCCGAAGCCAGTTTTGATGTATTGAATGACGTGCGGTAATTGTATTGAAATTGGCGTTTGACCCAAAATCACCTGCAATATTTCAAAATGTATAGGCAGCAGCGCGTGCAGTGTGCAAGAAACTGTTTTCGAAAACCGCAGCGAAGTAGTTGGGCCACCCATGAACGCACACACGTGGAACACAAATGGCAAGTAAATGGAGTGCGTGTTGTAGGAAAGCGTGGTTTGTCGAGAAAGTCAGAGGGGAGAGGGGTGTTTGCATATGTATGTACATACATATTTATATGCAATAGCCCATGTACACACAGTTGTTCGGTAAATGCCACAAATGGGTGAAAATGCTGGAAATTTATGTAGATCTTGCTTTTTTTCGGTATTTGTAAGACTCGGAGAATAAAATTAGTTTCGATACGTACATATGTATGAATGGTAAATATGGAAATTGGAAATTTTGCGGAAATGCGCTTTTCATTTGCCAATTTCAGTTACGCACAGATGCGCTAGGAAAATATACAGAAAATTCTTTCAGTTTAAATCAGAAGAATTGGCACGAGGGTTGCACAGCTGATGCCAGAATTGTTTTTTTTTTACATTTTTTTTTTTGTTTTGACGATTTAAAGTTTTTATTTTAATAACATTTTTTGT